CAAGGCAAAAAAGCCCCCCCCCCAATTGCCGGGGGGGGGGGACAGGGGACGGGGGACGCTCAACATAATACAAGTTGACAACCCCAGTAATAGAATGTCACAGCTCATTATCAGGTAAAGATCTCTGCTATTTGAGAATCTCAATCTCTCCCTCACTCCATTCACCGACGCCAAGAGTCGGACTCAATTGAAAGGTAAAAGAAAAAAAAAAAAAAAAAAATTTGAAGAGACGGCAGTGACTAAGATCAACAACCGTCTTGGACAGAAGCAGTTGCTTCCCCAAAATTTGAGGACCAACTTGCTGACGTAGATATAAAGGTCACATGACATTTAAAAGCAGCGGGTTAACGTGAATGAAGATGTAGACTGGTGAAAAACCGTCAAATTGACTTACAGTCACCGAGCACTTGAGGAGACGTGGCCCACGCGGAAAAGCGGGCAAACTCAGCCTGGACCCAACACGGTTGAACATGAACTTCATGCGGGTTTTGACAATGAAGTCAAACCCACACTCAGATAATACTGATTTTTTTGTTTGGTCCTTTCCAGCTCCTTTTTGGTAGCACAGCTATGCTCAAATTCTCTTCTTCTTTACCCGTCGTGAGGGAATCACACGTCAATCTTCTTCAGCTGTTCGTAAGTGAGGAAAAACTGGGCGGCAGAGTAAAGGAAGAACAACAACAACAACAACAACAACAGACAAAAGAAGGAACACTGACAAGACTGAGCGGAAGTCTACCGGTTGTGCAAGAATACATTAGGAGAGCGCAAAAAAAAAAAAAAAATCCGGATCAAAACGTGAGTGAATTGAAAAATTTGGTTTGGTTCGCATGTGTATGTTACCGTATTTTCCGGACGATAAATCGCACCAGCTGAAAGATGAACAATTAGGAACAAAAAAAAAAAACAAAAAAAACATTAGTTTCTTCCGGAGTGTAAGCACCAGCCAGATAGAGTGCCCTCTAGTGGCTGTCAGTGTGGAAATAACAAACATGTAAATTTTTTGTGGTATACGAGTAGCGGATAAATGCCTGCTAAAATAACGAACATGTGAAATTATGCATTTTATATAAACAAGTCGCACCTGAGTATAAGTTGCAAACGCAGGCAAAGGATAGAAAAAAAGTGCGACTTATATTCCGGAAAATACGGTACTTAGAGTTAGTTAGTTTTTCCCTGGCCTACATAAAAGTAGAGTAGAAGTTCATTATGCATTCCCCTACAAATTATGTAATTTTTTTTTTTTGGGGAAGGATACAATGATATTCCATGGTCCCAGGCGGAGCCAGTTGGGAAAGAAGCCCTTGTAAAGAGCCATGAAGCCTTCGGAGCGCCAGGTCTGAACAGAAAACAAAACGTGTGAAGCGAGAGAGTGGACAGAAATTCAACAAGAAAAAAAAAAAAAAAAAAAACACTGTTTCAGTTCAGCAGAGCCGTTCTTTCTTCTTCTCTTTTATTGACTGACCTGCAGTAAACAGTCTACGGTTCCATGGTACAGAGCCGCTCCTCTCTGGTTCATCATCCGTGTCCTGACGACATCTACGGGGTTTGAGGCCAGAGCTCCAGCCAGACCACACACAAAACTGGACCTGAACACCACAGTGTTAAAAAAATTTTGTTTTTTTTTTAAGTCAACAGTCTCCTCTTTTTAGTGTGTCACAGCACGAAAACAAACGTAATGCCCTTAAAAAGTTAGCAAAGACAGAGTTAGCTCTGTTACAGTTACTTCAATACTCTAGCCTGGAAATATTTAAAATATTTGGGGGGGAAAAGGGGGGCTTCTATACCCTCCATGACATATTGGATGATTTTTGATATTTCACATTGAATCTCAAACATAAATATAATAACAGTTGGCGCAATCGTAATTCGTAATCACTGTTAAATGATTACGTATGATCGTAAATGTTGGCTTCGTAATCTTAATTTTATTGAATCATTGAATCATTTTGTAGTTATCCAGTTGCACATGTTGCAAAAAGCATTTGCAGAAACTGATGTCATCCCATTGGGAATGACATAAAAAAAAAAAAAAAAAAAAAAAAAAAAAAAAAAGGACGCGCGCATTTTTCGGAAAAACTTACAAGAAGTGCGTGTACACGGTGTCCCCCATGGAACCAGAAAGGATCAGATGCTTTTTGGTGACGTCATAAACCGGCAGTTCAACTCCTACAACTATGGCAGCTCTCTGAGCGGTGAGAGACACGCCCTGTTAAAGAGAGACACGCGTGAGTCAATGCAAAAAGTCATACCTGAGAGACTACGGGAACTACACAGCCATAGATACACACAGGCCTTTGTTTGAGTACCTTCCACAGGCCCCGTGTTCCCTCCTCTTGGTAGATGTTGATGAAGTTACCCATCATGCTGCCCTGGATTACTTTTCCCTGGGCCTGCATGCGGATCTGGAGGATAAGACACACGATAAATACTTAAATGTTAACCTAAAAAAAAAAAAAAAAATGCAAATCCAACGCGAAATGTACACGTCCAGGCCTGCGATAGTCTTGTTTTGCAGATGGGGGGGAAACAAGTTTGTGCGGTATTTTTGACTGTGGCCTGAAGCACTTTTCTTCTAAGTTTTCAGTTTCTAACTAGCGTTGTTGGCAGATGAGCTGTTGGACTTGGTGGTAAATTGACAGAACTTTTCTCTGTTACTCCTTTATATATATATATATATATATATATACATATATATACACACATATATATACATATATACACATATATATACATATACATATACACATATATATATACATATATATATATATACATATATATATATATACATATATAAATATATATATACATATATAAATATATATATACATATATAAATATATATATACATATATAAATATATATATACATATATAAATATATATATACATATATAAATATATATATACATATATATACATATATACACATATATATATACATATATATACATATATACACATATATATATATATATACATATATACATATATATACACATATATATACATATACACACATATATATACATATATACACATATATATACATATACATAGGAAACTTACTGAGACCAACTCTGGTTGAACACACATCTAAATACAAACTCTTATTCACGGAAAACTGTGTTTGGCTCTTGGGACTCATTTCTAAAAATAACCCATGGAACAGGTTATGTTGACAAACGATGACCTTTACACAACAGTAGGGGTTTTACAACAAACCATACTGTGACCATAACCAGATGAAATCATCAGTTCCTTTAGTATAATATGAAATATATGCAGCGTTTAAAATCAAGGAAGCTTCACACAGGTACATTTGTGCACACTTTAAGTTCAGCGGCAAAACAGACCAGACCTGCTCTGCAGCTTCGCAACGCCTCAACCTCATTCGCGCAGCACAACAATAGAACGCGGATGCGAGGGTTGAAAAGTTTCTATAAATTCACATTACAACTAGGGATGTCCCATATGGAAAATTTTTTTGCCGATTTTGTCCCAAGTACTTGATTTCCGATTCTGATATCAAACCGATATTAATCAATCATTAATCAAATAGGCTGCAATGCTGCCATCTAGTGACTTTCGCTTTAACGCACAGCCGTTTAATACACAGCCCGAAAACTATTTTTAAGTCACACACCATTTTGGCGAAATCATTTTTCATCATTTTACGTCCTTGCTCTAGGCCACCCCGAAAGGTGTCCCCACTTTTATTTCACTTCATTTAATTTGCATGTTACCTTTAAAACATCAGTGGGGTTGGCAATGGAGGATGAGATGACACCAGAGAGAATACCACAGGCCACATTAGTCAGCAATGTTTCTTCTGAAAGAGGAGAGTGGGAGGACAACCGTGACTGGGAACAAGCACAAACACTTGATACTGTGTTGTTGTTTTTTTTTTCAGATATATTAGGACACACACACACACACTCACTTACCTTCTGGCCTAAATACCAGCAGCCGCTTTAAACTCTGGTATGTGCCAATTTTAATGGTTCCATAAGAAGCCTGACGCAAAATGGCGGGAGATATCCTGTAAAAAATAAATAAATAAATAAATAAATCCCAATTATATAATGCATTGAAGTTGAAGGAGATGTTTTTTTTTATAAAATTCACAACAAAATAACAAGGGTGTAGTTTGCAGTTGGTTACACAGTTGGTTGCAGTTGGTGTTGTGTTATTATTATTATTATTATTATTATCATTATTATTTTTAACTGAAGAAGAATAGCTTCAAAGACAGTAAAGAATGTCCCTGCACTGTGTGAAATGGTTTCAAGTTTCAACACCTCCGAGAAAATTGAACAAGCTGGAGGTAAAATGCAGCCTCTCGGACAACGTAATGCATAATTTTTTTTTTATTATTTCCTTTTGAGACGGAAAATGGACTCTCTTTATTCCATTCAAAATAATGCAGTCGAGAGAAAAAAAAAAGCAACAACTTATTTATACTGACCCAGAGTAGAGAGCGCGCAGCCCTTCTTCTCTCCCTACGCGGAGTAGAGCATGCAGCATGCCTCTGTACCGGATTTCTCTGTATTTACTGTCGCCCACTTGGCCTTGTACCTGGAGTCTAGTCTTGGCCAGGTCGATGGGGAAGGTTCCTGACACAAAAAGGGCAGAAATGAGACTTTTTACTGACCCGAAAAAATGACAACCTAGTTGAACTTCAACTTCAACCGTCGCCTTCTGCACTGCACGAATCACTCTCACTCACCGCATTCCGCCGTCATTGAAGCGAGTCCGCCGAACACAAAGGGCTTCCAGCTAACGTTAGACATTTTTCTTCCCGCTTTTCTTAAAGAGGAGAGAGGAGAGAGACTGCACAAACACCGACGACAGGGTTTAGCAAATAGGCCTTGGGTGTTCGTTTGTTTGCTAGAGGTACCTGCAGCTACTTCAGTTTTTTTTTAAAACGGCTACCGGCATTAGCAGACACCGGTACCGCCTACTTCCTGCTGCCTGCGACTGCTTCGAGAAGACCCGCCCATCGTCATGCTTTAATTCGCTGCACTGACCGGCGTGTGTCCGCCCACTTGAGTGGAGCTTCACAACAGGAAACGAACGCCACGTGGAAAGACAAATAAATTAAAATAACAGACAACTGTCATGTCAATTATAGCCGGGCTCCGAAAATTTGCCATTTGAACTATCTTTTAATATCTCTTCCCTGTAGCCATATGCTAACAGCTAGCACAGGGTCATAATAAATAAACTACAGCTAACTGTACCTGTACCTGAACCACTATTATAATTAACATATAATTCATTATTAAATAATAATAATAAATACAAACCAATAAATAAAAAATACTTAATAATTGTTATTTATAATAATAACAATTATATTTTTCTATTTTTGTTCACAATTTACGGTTGTAGTCGATAAAAGTGTCCTTTTTTCTATCCAGCACCACTAGAGGTCAGTAGAGCCATTGAAAATGTCTAGGGACATTGTCACTGCCTTTGGTACTGCCTACAGTATCTTAAAGCTGTGCTACAGTGGTCTAAGCACTTAAATGTTAATCGAAGGCCATTAAAGATGAATTTAATGAGCAAGAACAGACACTAACGTAAACAGTCTATATATTTTAAAAGCTATTTGCGCAACATAGATACATAATGTTGCTTACGTAAACACTCGTCTTGTTTTTCTTTCTCTTCCTGCTCCGAGTGATATTCCCTTCTTGGCTTCAGAGACACCTACCTAATGTATAGTAATCATTATCTTACGCTACTTGTTTGCTTTGATTTATGGGTTTGCTAAGTAACCGCGCTGACCATGTATGAGTACAATATTAATGACTAAGGTGAGAGGGTGTGAGTATGAATGCGTGTGTGTGTGTGCACACAGATACACGTTACACACGACATCAATAAACGGAAGTGGATACATTCAATGGGAAAGTGTGGTTTTATCGCAAAACTAAATAGACAGCGGGAAGTGCAGTTTATCTTAAAATGGCCTCGTTTAATGTGGTGATCTGTTAAAAGGACTCTGAAATGTGAGCTGAGCAGGAAATTATAGATCTGTGTTTTTGGTAAAAAAAAAAAAAAAAGTGATACAACAGCTACAACATTTTCATGGGTTTCGGAGCAAAATGACCTCCTATCACTGTAGGAGGTCAAAGTAGATGATGGTGTTAAGTGGTGACAAGAAAGAAAATTAAAACTGTGTTGTAAAATATGACATATTTTTATTTGTATATTTATGTATTACATACTGTTAAGATTCTAGAAAGAAAATCTAAGAATAATATTTATATTTACATCAATCACTTCCTAGTCTCCTAGTTTAAACTCCTAGTTTAAAAATCATTGCACTCTACGCACACTTCATCGGATTAAAGTATTTTTACTCCATCCCCAGGCCACGACTGAACTTAACTGGAAGTGAAGGCTTGTCTACTACTGTTACTGCGTATATATATATATATATGTGTGTGTTTATCCCCTTCATGTTTCACCAGCCCCCCCCCCAGATCTGACAAAATGAGTTCGTCATCAACACGACACTGAGTGAAACCTGCAAGACTCTGATTGGCTGGACGTAAGCTGCTCAGTGCTCCAATCTGGTTCCACCGTGTGTGAGTGAGTGTGTGCATCTTCGTGGGCCCTGGTGACACGAACCGCCCACACGACAGTGACGCAGTGATAACAATATTTTTTTTTTTTTTTCTCCAAACCTATATTTACATCATCGCAGCCGCTCCTCGTGCATATGGTCCCCTTATCTTCTCTCACCGAGACAGGATATGTCCTAGAAATGTCATTGCCAATTGAAGATTATTTAAGTTTTAAAAGAAGAAGTTGTAAAAGAATAAAGAATCCTTTATCGAGTTGAAATAAAAACACTCGAGTCGCTCCGGGGTATAAGTCGCAACAGTGCCCTCTAGCGGCTGTCAGTGTGCAAAATAACGAACATGTACATTTTCAGTGGCTCAAGAGAGGCAGATACCGGTACACGAGCCTAGAGCGCCCCCTAGCGGCTGTCAGTGAGAACGTAAGAACCATGTGAAATGATATATTTTAGTATGTAAGTCGCACCAAAGAATGAAAAAAAAAAAAAAAAAGTCCAGATAATACGGTATTCCTTGCACCGGCCCTGTGTACATTAGTAATAACAAACTTCAAGCGCGTCATAGGCTGAGTTTAGTCCGTGTTGTCGAGCCATTAACTCGAAGCGACTGTAGCCTCCTCTATCACACTCCCTCCTAATAGCTGGATTAGGACCTTGCGTTAATAGACGTATCTGTCTTCTCTGTTTATTCACTTATTTCACTTTCTCTCTCTCTCTCTCTGTCTCTCTCTCTCACGCACACACACATACACACAACCCCCTCCCCTTCTCCTTCTAACATGCTCTCTCAGCTTCGCTCATGGGCAATTACACAAACAAGCATTTTTTTTTCTCCCCCCCCCCTCTAAGAAAATAAATGGATAATCTAACCACTGATGTTCGACTTTTAAAAAATATATTATCTCTGAGAAGTCCTCAAATGTGCGCGCACACTAGTACGTATTAGCCATGCAGATTTATGTAAATGCCTAAGACACAGAGTTTCGACTCTGATAGGCTGGAGCTCAACGCTCCTGCAGAGCAGAGACTGAGCTGGAATCTGAATTAGCGTATTCGCATATTACGCATATCCAAAAATAGGTCATCGACATAACAACTGCTAAAAACCCCCCGTCGCTCCAGGTTAAGGCCGGAGAGTAAGACGGAGTGTATTCCGTTGCTGCCCCCATACTCTGGATTAAACGCTCCCTCAAGATGAGGGTAATTACTGTGGATGTTTATCTAAAATTGGGCCACGACGGCAACAGAAAACGCTAACTGAGATGTGTCACATAATTTCAAGATAAAGTGTACTGTGACAAGATGACAAAATGTTTCATGGAATATTTTGACTTTAAACTCATTATATTTAGCGTCTTTCGTTAAGGTAGAAAAACTTGTACTTGTCCCTTTTGGACCAATTTCCCATTTGAGCTTCATTGTTTTAGTCTTGCTTATCTGAAAAAAATACCGCATTCTCCGGACTATACGTCGCTCCGGAGTATAAGTCGCACCAGTGACCTCTAGTGGCTGTCAGAGTGAAAATAACGACCAAGTACATTTTCAGTGGTACAGGAGTAGCAGATGTTGGTACACAAGCCTAGAGTGCCCTCTAGCGGCTGTCAGTGGGAAAATAACGACCATGTACATTTTCAGTGGAACAGGAGTAGCAGATGCTGGTACACAAGCCTAGAGTGCCCTCTAGCGGCCGTTAGTGTGAAAATAACAAACATGTGACATTATATATTTTAATATATGTCACACCTGAGTATAAGTCGCAAAACCCGGCCAAAGGATGAAAAAAGGCTTCCACAACATACGGTAATATTAGCATATTTAAAAGATAAAGCTATAAATATCTCAACACACTGAGGAATGTTTAACGCGACATTCCTGGTGGTGACGAGGTTGCTTCCGATGACGTGTATATGTACTCTTTTCAGCCCCCTCGCGCTTTCAGTTTTTCTCCGTCGTGCGTGCGTTTGAGAGAGACGGAGAGAGTGAAAGACAAAAAAAAAAGAAAAAAAAAAGAGAGACAGAGAGCAGAATCCTCCGCCTTGCTTTTCTTTTTTTTTTTTTAGAAGCTGATGACTTGAGGTCCACTTAGAAAACAGCAGCGTTTCATTTTTAGCACTGTAAAAGGTACTCTGTGATTCCACATCAACGTGTATGGAACATGAAATACATGTGTCTGTGTGTGTCTGCCCGAACCCCATTTTTTTCCAAAATTGTGAACTCTCCTGGCTGCAGTTGCCATAGTAACCAACCATTCGCAGCATCTGGCAAATTATAGGGTTGCATTGAAGGGCGAGAGGGGTATGTGTGCGTAAATACGAATGTGGATTTTACGTGTGTGTGTGTGAGAGAGAGAGAGACAGACAGACAGAAAGAGAGTGCGAGAGAGAGAGAGAGTGAGAGAGCATCACCTGCATACAAATACAAAAAAAAAAAACGATGGCGATGTTGAAAATGAACAATCGCCCCCGCACACAGTGCAGAGTTTTGGAGCGCCACCATAGGTTAACCATGTTTATTGTGCTGAATTATAATAATCGATAAAGATAATCGAAAAAAAGGTCTATACCTAAGGGTGTCAAACATACGGCCCCCGGGGCCAAAATCGGCCCGCTTAGCAGTTCGGTTTGGGCCGGCTTGATGAATTTTGAAGATAAAAAAAACAAAAAAATACCGCATTCTCCGGACTATACGTCGCTCCGGAGTATAAGTCGCACCAGTGACCTCTAGTGGCTGGCAGGGGGAAAATAACAAACAAATATATTGTCAGGGGGTAA